AAGGAAATTGTAGTAAGACAATTAAATCTCAATTTTTTTTCCCCTAATAAATTTATTGTACAATTTTGTTTTTCAATTTTTTTTTGTTTTTATTTATTTATTTATTTATTTGCTAGATTGTTGTTGGGCTATAGTTGCTTGCGCGGCTATTGAGTCATTGTATAACATCAACAATCAACGAAAGGAGCTATATCAGTTAGCTCCACAAGAATTAATAAACTGCATCAAGAAAGAAAGCAAAAAGTGTTATCTCTGTTCGATTAATGAAGGATTCCGATATGCCAAACAATACGGCATAAGACGAGAGATTGACTGTCCATTCAAAGCTGAAAAACAACCATGTCTAAACAAAAAGAAACATTCGGTAAATCCCTAAATAATTTTATTTTATTTTTATGAATTTTTTTATAATTTTTTTGCTCAACTTATTATTTATTTATTTTGGTTATAAACAGCCTTGTTTGAGAATTGAAAACTTCAAGAATTTAGACAAAGAAGATGAAGATGGGATAATTCAAGTACTCAAGAAACAACCTATCGGTGCAGGAATTTACATTACTGGAGAGTTTGAAAACTACAGAGAAGTTTGTACAAGAAAACTAAATGATTATGCATTCTTTTATTGACTATATATATATATATATATTTTATGGTTTTTGATTTTTTTGTATTGTAGGGTATATATGAAGCAGCACTGGAGAAGATTTACACTAAATGTGCAAGGCCAGGGCTTCATGCCATATTGCTTATCGGGTACGGTATTGATAAAGACACGGGGAAGAACTTCTGGTGGATACAAAATTCTTGGGGTACTAGTTGGGGCATAAATGGGTATGCCAAAGTAATCCGTAATTCAAGTCAACCTGAGGGAACAGTGCCCATGCTATCTAGACTATCTTATCCAGAAAATGTGGAACAATTTTTGTGTACATCAGAACAGATGATTGAATATTGTCCAACTAGAAAAATAGTAGATTAATGTAATAGTTCCTCAACTGTTTTCTTTAGATAATATAATATTCTAGATACATGTGTTGTCAAGACAGTAGATATGTATGAATTACATGCTCTTGGTTTGAGATTTAAATTAGTATGGAAGTTTCTTTATTTTCATGATTGTTTTGTCTGATGCTCTCTCAGCTTCATTCTGTTTATCCTTATGCAATGGCTGTGGATTGAAGAGACACATCTTTGTCTTTGTTTTTTTTGTTTTTGTTTTTGTTTGTGTTTTTGTTTTTGATTTTTTTTTTTTTTTTTTTTTTTTTTTTTTTTTTTTTTTTATTTTTTTATGGTGTGTTGCGGATTGTTTATTTTTTATTTTTTTATGGTGTGTTGCGGATTCTAGCGTAGAGCTGATTTGGGATTAATTTTGTTGTGACCTTTTAGGGGTTGTTTGGAGTATCCTAAATAAGTGTACTTTTTAGCCCCGTTTGGTGTAGCTGTTAAAATAGCTTATAGATTATAACTTAACAGATTATAGATTATGACTTTAATCAGAAGTTGTTAATCTGTTTGGTGTAGCTGTTGGATTATAGATTTAAGTTGCTGAGTAGTGTTTGTTAAATAAACTGTGAAATAGCTTTTTCAATTAATTTTTATTTTTTGTTTGTCAACATTTCTCATAAAAAATAATAATAATAATCTATAGTCCATTTGAGTCTTTTTCTATTTTTTAAAAAATAAAAAATAAAAAAATTTAAGAGTATAACCATAAATTAATATGTCCACAGCAGAAGCTGATAATCAGAAGCAAGGGTGAGCAGCTTATCAGAATCAGCTTTTTTGAGTTAAAATAAGCTGTTAGAATCAGAAGCTATTTGAAATAAGTTTAAACAAACAGTCCAAAATAATTTTTTCAAAGCTAAAAGCCATAAGCTGTCTTTTTTGACTAAAAAATTGAGGAAAAAAATATTAATGTTTGGGTTAATTTTTTGACTTTTTATGAAAAAATGTGTATTAAAAAATTGTATAAATTAGTGTGTAGGAAAAATTAAGATTGGGAGTTGTGCAGCCCTAATTGTTGATTTTTGGTGAATAGTGTTAACTTTTTAACTTTTTGAGTAACTTTTTGACTTTTTAGCTTTTTATGAATTTGCCAAACTTGGCCTTAGATTTTTTAGAGCAAGTTTGGGCACTCCCAATAATAATAAAGAAGTAAAAATAAAAAAGTCAAAGAACTATAAAAAATAAAAATAAAAAATTAAAGATTTCATTTTCTTTAAATTTTTTTTGCAAGTTTTTCGTAAAAAGTTAAAAAAATATTCTAAACACACTAAATTTTTTTTCAACTTATTATATTTTAGTTAAAAAAAGTTGAAAATTAAAAAAAAAAACTAAATAGGCTACATGTGTGTTTGATAACATGATTCAACACTTAAAATTGAATTGATTAAGTGATAATTAATTAAACTTGTTTGATAACCACAATTGATATCACTTAAAAATTTTAGTACCTCTTAAAATGTACGCTAAAATTTAAAAAAATAATAAATCATATGAAATTTACTTAATTCTGATTAAATTTATAAATATTAAATATAAGTATCAAAATACACTATTATAAATTCCTCACTATCGCCACCATTGCTGCCACCACCATCACCGTTATCATCATGCCACCACCGCCACCATGCCCTCGCCACCACTACCACCATTGCCACCACTACCGTCCCCACCATCACTAACAACACCATCACCACCATGTCACCGCCACCACTATTACCACCATCATCATCATGCCACCGCTGCCGCTGCCGCCACCGCCACCACCACCACAACCACCACTACCACTATTAATTTCATCATCATTGTTATTATTGTCATAAACATCACGATCATTTTACTATCACTATCATTGCTACCACCACCACCATTACTACCGTCACCACCATACAATATAAAAATTAAAATATACAATTTAATTTTTTTTTTAAATTGATCTTATATACATATGAAACTATTTATTTTTAATTCAGTACTTAAATTTTTATCAAATAACTTTTTGACTTAACAAATTCAATATTCAGTTTTACTATCACTATCATCGCTACCACCACCACCACTACTATAACATCGCCGCCACCACTATACCACCGCCGCCACCATCACAATATAAAAATTAAAATATACAATTTTAAAAAAATAAATTTTAAATTTGATCTTATATACATATGAAACCATTTATTTTTAATTCAGCACTTAAATTTTTATCAAATAACTTTTTGACTTAACAAATTCAATATTCAGTTTTCAATATTTATTTTCTCATCTTTGTAGACACCCCATTTTTGACCGCCCTTAAGACTTGGGCGTTACTGATGGTTTACTTGGTGGAGAAAGGTGTGCAGGGCCAAGGTTTAGTTTCTTCAGCAAGGAGAGAGACAAATCTCAACTTCACACCCCATTTTGGACCAAAACTATTTTGAATGGTTTTTAGACCTTAAAATCCTCTCTTTCAAAACATTTTTTTTGAAATAAAGTTCCTACGATGCTCTGACGCTCGCATTTCGGTAAATATTGTGCTTTTCGGTAAACCGAGCAAGGACAAAGTGGAGATGAATGAAAGAGAGATGAAATCTTTGAAAAATCTTTCAAAATACTTTGTTTAGGGGTTTAGAGTTGAAGAAAAGAGGAGAAGAGAGAAAAACCAGCTGGAGCATTGCATACAAATCCTCCATATCTCCTCCATCCAAGCTCCAAAACACCCTTGACCTTGCACCATTTGCACTACAACCCATAGCACAACACCTCCATTACTCATTCCAGCACCTTGGAGGACATTTGGAGAGGATGAAGGCTCAGAATTTGGACCAAAAGCTGCTGGAAAGTTGGTCTTCAAGGGTAAGTTTCTTTTCCCCTCAAACTTGCGTTTTTTTTTGCTTTATTTATAAGCCATACTTGCAAGCATTTCTGGGCTCCGACCCAAACTGTAAAGTGACTTGTTTTGAGCCCCTCTTCAACTTTTTTGAAGGGATCCTCTCTGTTTGAGGCTATCTACTACCCCTTGTCTCCTATTTCTCTTCGTAGGGCCATTTTTGTATGCTATTTTAGCCCTACTTGTGATCATTTTCGAGACTTTCTATAAACTGTGAAGTGACTTGTTTTGAGCCTCTCTTCAACTTTGTTGAAGGGCTCTTTCCTGTTCGAGGCCATCTGCTGCCCCTTGTCTTTAATCTCTCTTTTAGGGCTGTTTTTGCATGACATATTAGCCTTATTCGTGAGCTGTTTTGGACCTCGACCTAAACTGAAAAAAATCTTGTTTTGACCTGTTCTGCAAGTTTGTTTAAGGTTCCATTTCTGTTTGGAGTCATCTCCTTTTTTGCATGCCTTATTTCTCCATGCTTTGAGCCATACACACTACAAGAATTAACACTTTTGGCAACAAAAAAATTGGTCGCTAAAAGTCAATTTTTGGTCGGCAAAAGTTATCCGCGGCCAATTTTTTTGGTCGCTACTTTGGTCGCCAATTGAGGGTCGGCAAAAGTAATTCGCGACCAAAATTGTGGTTGGTCGGCAAAAGTTGGATTTCGCGACTAAATTTTTGGTCGCTAAATATTTAATTACCGCGACTAATTTATTTTGTCGCCAAAATACTTTGGTCGCGAAAAGTGATATTTTCCCGACCAAAAAATTTGGTCGCCAATTGTGACATTCAACGACCAAAAAGTTTGGTCGCCAATTGTGACATTCCGCGACCAAAAAGTTTGGTCGTCAATTGTGACATTCCACGACCAAAAAAAGTTTTGGTCGCCATTTGTTACTTTTCGCGACCAATACTTTTGGTCGACAAAAGTGAGTTTCCATGACCAAGAACTGTTTTGGTCGGCAATAGATGTATTTTTTGCGACCAAGACTCTTAGTCGGCAATTGTCATTTTTTGCGAAAAAAAATTATTTTGGATGTCGCGACTAATAAATTGGTTGCCAAAGCAGGAAAACAATACACCTGTAATTCCTAATAATTCATTCAATCCATAATAAACCTATAATTTTAAAGCATCATTCAAATTAACTGAATCATTAACATTCGACACAATACATAATTCATTAACATTCGACACAATACAACTATTCTAAGTTTTCATTCACAAGTCACATCCATGTAGCATAACAATTTCAAACATAACTATTTGTTATCCATGCGCAGCTATCAACAAATAAAACTACTAATATTTGTTATCCATACACATCTATCCACAAATATTTAATCCTTCAAAAAATGCTTATGCTGCCAAGTAGTCTTGTACAATTTAGCTTCGTGAACTTGTTAAGAAATATGTTGGGGAGGGTGCTGGTCTGGTTCGTGAACTTTTGATCCACTTTTCCCAACTTTTGATCCACTTTTCAATGATGGCCCCATCGATATTGTTTTAGCCACTTCAAATGTTTAGCAAGTTTGTCCTATGCATATCATTTCCCTGTCAAAATGCCAAACATAAATGTCAATAAAATTTCCTTCTAGACACTGAAGCACCTGTACCGCCCAAGCATAACGCATCGTGGCCAAACAATTAATGAAATCAAATATAATTACCAAGCAAATAAATTTAGATTTTATCACGGTGATAAGTCATTCCACACGAATCAACAGCTTGTTGCTTCTACATTAGAATGCATTTATTAATGAAACTAGAACAATTATTGAGCAACTGTATGACATTTGATGTGTGAAGTGCTCTTTTTCTCATGTTCATTTCTTTATGGAACTGGGTGATCTTAGAAATCCAAAGCTTTTTTTACTTACATTTGAGTAAGCAAGGTGAACAGAGCTATGGGAGCCTTATTACCCTGGCTACCCTTCCCGAGGCATATGCCTGCTTATCAACAATTGCTATATAGACTAATTGCTAATTGCTATATAGATGATCTACCTGCTTATCAACAAAACATCAGGTCCCATACCTATAAATGCAGATTCACCAAATATTACTTAAACCAATAGGACTCCAAGTTTTTAATTCGTTGATAACCAAATTGTTCTCTCCTTTAAAATAAAAAATCTCAACTCAAATACATGAATGAAAATATATGACACCCCCAACTAGTGTTAAGGAAACAAAAAAAGGGCCAAGAAATAAAGCAAATCATCTAATTCCTTCAGAATAATTGCCATGTACTGATGTATATTTAACATGTTATTACAGCAATCAAAAGTGATTATAGAGGATATGGTACCACCTTTGCACAGTCACCGAGCCAGCCCATGATACTACGAGCAGCTTGAAACATCTCTCCCAATGCAGTCAATGTGATCTGCTCAACCAGAAAAGAAGAATATTCTTACGATGAAGTTAAAGCTAAATGAATGAATCCACGTAAATATGAGTTGTCTTTATTGGACTGACATTGGAAAAGAAAAACCTCCCATGCTATTATGCATGGGATACATGATGCATCAAATTAGCAACCTGCCCCTGCTACAGTCCAAGTTATAGTCTATTTAAATTTTTCGTAACATGAGGACATGTGACTTTCTTGTTTTATTGGCTACTTAAAATTGACATCTGGCATGTGTGAATCCATGAGACAGAAGACTTGAGAAAACAAGGATCCCACAAAAAATTGTTGAGCATGGACACTTTTAAGAAGGTTTTGACATGACATGACATGACACGACACGACACGACACTTGTTAGACACACGTCCAAACATGTCCGACTATTTCAAAAAATTTCTGTATTTGGAAGTGTTTCATACACCTGAGAAACACACTTGAAACACATTATAACCATGAATAAAACAACATGAAATCCAAAGATAAAAGGTAAAAAAAACATCAATTTACACCTATTCTTCTCTTTCAGACTTTAAAAATTATTATCTTTGAATTATTTAATCATATATATGACATTTAATAATTCTTTATTCTTATATGTGATATAATAAATATACAAAATTATATATTTTGCACAAGCGCTAGCATTTTTTGAAAATTTCCATGTTGTCTTGTCGGGGTCATGTCACCTGTCTGTGTCCATGCTTGGTCCAGTCTGATGTTAATATACACAAAATGCATTGCATACACAAAATGCATTGCATACAAAAGACTATTCCATGAAGCAAATGTTATGCTCTATAAATAGATGCAAGACTGAAGAACTGTCAATGATCCTGCCCTTACTTTTGCAGCATAACAGGCTGCACCAAAGAGCTCTGTATCATCTGCAATGGCATTACGTTCCTTCAACCTTCTCTTGATCTGATCCCGAGCACAAATGTAAGTTACACCGTACACTGATGTCATCACTGTCTGCTTCACTACTTTCTTGTCCACCTAGATTATTGCCACTTATCAGTCCAACGTCACTCATAGAAAATAACTAACTATTGGGATAATTAAGAAAGATGTCAATGTGCAGCGAGAAAAGCACAGTGAAGAATATTACCAGTTTTATTTAAGTAAATAAAAATAGCATACTAAGTAAATGACAGTGTCTAATATGTTGGGCATTCGGAGTAAGGATTGCTCCCAGAGAAGAGTTCAAGCTGTTTGGGATGTGGCATCTATTTGTCTTATGTGGTTGAGGGAAAGGAATGGGTGGTGCTTCCCACTCACAAAGTCAAAGAAATCAATGCTGAGATCTTCGTTCTTTTGGTTTAGAGAGTACTTCCTGTTGGGTCTTGTGGACCCTAATAAGTACTGTTCCCACTAACCTGTAACGTATTAAACGAATACAAATAGCGTCTCTCAGGTTTCCCAAATTACACAAACCTCCCCTATCATAATGGTCGGTTAACAACCCTTAACACAAAATGTGCTTTTATTGTTTGGTTGGTGGAAGTTTATTGATCAGCTAGATTCAGTGATGATAAGAGCAATATAGAGAAAGAAGTAATCAAAAAACCAAAACCAAACCAAAAAAAATAAAAGACAAAAATAAGAGAGAGAAACAAGCAACTCGTCACAAAGCAAGGTTTCTGTTGCTTTCTTCAACCTTGCTCTCTATCTCTCTTAGTGTCGGGGTGGTGGATTATGGTGTTTGGGTTCAATCATTGTAGTTGGGTTTCAAATGAGAGAGAGAGAGAGAGATGCTCAATTAAATTAAACTTCTTTTTCTTTTTCTTTTTCTTTTTGTCATGGGATGTGGCATAAATGAATTTGGTAGTAGTATCATATTTTCCTTTGACAAGTGGTGTGGGTATAACTGACAATGTCTGCTTGCATTGACTAAATAAGGATAAAATTGGCATTACAAATTAACAAAGTGATGACATTATCTTTTTCCATCATTCTCATTGATGGTATGTCAACAGGGGGGAGGTATATACATAATATTATGTTAGATGTAAGCATGGTTATCAGAATCTCGATCCGGATCTTACGATCCTACAATCTTACGATCTATTTGAGTGCAATCGATCCGGATCGTGTAAAAAACTCCTTATAGGTAGGATCTTTCGATCCTGGTAGTGGGATTTATAGGATCGTGGAATCCCGATCCGAATCCGATCCTATCCGATCCAATTTACAAGCCTTGTTTTGTATTGTATAACATATTTTGTTGTAAATTTTATATTTGTTGTCTAAATATCAATTTATGTTGTCAAAATAAATAATAAAAATTAAGTAGTATTGAATCAAATAGACTAAGAAAAACAAACTAGGAAACAAACATTCAAATATTGCGGTAATTTAAGAAAATTAAATAGTCGGAAAAACAAACTTAGCTTTAGCGGAGTCTAAGAAGGGTAAGATGATCGTAACTTTATCCCAATTTCTGGAGAAATTATTTTTGTGACTCGAATCCGCTCCACCAGGGATGCTAACGACAAACCTTATCATTAGACTAAGCTACTCTTTTGAGTTCTTAATCTATTTTCATATCCAATTTTGTTAAATATTTTTTCTTCACTTTTTATGCATTATTGTACATTGTAAAGTATTTTGTTATAGAATTCTTCTTCTTCTTCACCTTCTTTTTTGATAAAATACAGAACTTTTACCATCGAGTTTTCTATTGCATAATATTATATGTACATTTTACATGGAGTATTATATTTTTCACAATATCTTCACTTCTTTTTAACAAAATATAGGTTCATTTTGTGTGTACTTTATAAGAAATATTTATTTAAATTAAATTATTATGTAATTTGTCTTTTTCGGTAGGATCTTACGATTCTCGATCCGATTCTACGATCCGATCCTATAAACACCTCCAACGATCCAGCATAGGATCCCGATTTTAACAACCTTGGATGTAAGTAAGAGAGGGCATATTTCAAAAACACAAGGAAATGGCGGGAAACCTCAAGGAGGTCAATGTAATTTACTTTACTAATAATGATTAGTAGTCATAGTAGATGTGGTAGTGGTACCAACCTGATTGATTAAAAGCCTTGCACACAGTGCATCTGGAAATACTTCAGGATCTTTCTGATCATCTTTCCTCATTATATCTAGAACTCTACGTGGCAAATATGGCATTTTTTAACATGCAATTGTCAACTGAGGTGATTTAACTCTGTTAATATCTATAAAACCTGAACGAAAAGATATAAGCTTCTTGCATTGTGAAAAAGCTACTTACCTAGTAGCTATTCCTGAGTAAACATCAGCAGGTTTTTCTCCAGCAACCAAATTGACAGCAGTTGCTCCCAACTGAATGAAAAAAATCCATCAGAGAAGCCAGAGATAGGCAATAAAACAGGAAACAAATTTTTTTTTTTGGGTCATGAATGGATAAAAAGTTTACATTTTTTCTTAGCTCCAATGAAATGAAATATGACATTTCTCTGGCTATATTTCTCCATTTACTTTGATGCTAACTGCTGCTAAATTTCGTAAAAGCAATGAATATTTAACGAATCATAACTACTGGTCTCAGCTTCTTATACAGTTATTAAAAGCTTATGGGATTGTTGATTGATTGGTGAAGTGAACAAAACAACCTATCAAGCATAAGAGAGTGGGTTCAAGTCCTATCATAGCAGAGCGAACGTGTTCGCAACACCCCAAATTTAAAGTGCCAACATAGCATATGAGCCTTCTTTTCCTAAGTTTTTAAGTACTTAATATCTCTGGACTGTCACTTCAGGTAGTCAGGGAACAGGTGGTACTAATAAATGGATCGAGTTTGGTTACTCAGGAAGTTATGATGGAGTAGTACCAAATAAGTGGATAGAAATAATTGGCAAATGACATGGAAACCCACAAACTCATACACAAGTAGCTTATTAGCAATCAGGCTTCTTTAGAATGCAGATCTTAAAGAAGAAGAAAATAAACTCATGGATTTACTTACAGTTCTTTCGAGGCCCTTGCGAACTAATGGATCACATTCAATGACACCATATCTTCTGCCGATGTTCCTGTTGAATAAAAAACACAAAAACCACAATATGAAGTGTTGAAGACTAGCAGGAAGTTTGTCTATCAATAAAACAATGAAAAATGGATATTTACTTTTCTTTCACTACAGTTTTTAATGAGTGTACAAATGCAGGTCGAATATCAGGTGGACCATCAGCTAACTGATCAGCCCGAGGCTGTATATAGGCAGTTTGCAACAGTAATTCAATTAGACGAGTCCCAACCTGAAAAGTAGATGAAGGATTGAACCTTTATATAATTCAGTTGTCACAATTATGGTTGGTGCCTAATTGTCCAGGGCGTAATGATAACATCTTAATAACATCTTACACCTAATCTGGTGGCTCACCTTCTCCAAGTAACTGGTAATAGATTATAGGACCAAAACATGACACTAATAGGCCCAAGTGAGACAATGATAGGCTGTCAAAAACATAGAAGAGATGGGAGAGGAAGTTGACATAGAGTTTTATTCTTAATAATCTGTCAGGTCTCAGCCAATAATCCTTTGTGAATTTACAAAGGAATATTCTTGACACTGCAGAAATATCTGAACTAGAATTAATTTATAATTGAACTCTTCCCTCATTAACATGTACACACTTTTTCAAGAGAACATGTGATAAAGCATATGTCAAAAGAAAAACAAGACAATTTACAAAAGTTTCATAGTCCATACCTGCAAGGCATTTTCATGAAATTCATTGTGCACCTGCCTCAGATGTGATCTTGGCAACTGGGGAAAATAAAAAGCATAAATCACTTACATACCAAATAGGAAAAAGGACCTCAAATACTAGAAGAAAGATGGCATTATAAGAGTGTTTGCAACCTCATCACTACCCTTTTGTGGCAACATTACCAGTCACAAAAAAAAAAACAAAAAAAAATTAGCATAGAGGTTGAAAACATGAAAGTTAATAATGGTGTTTCTGTTGCCCCAAGGAGAATGCATCAATTTTATAAAGTTAATAATCACTTATTGAATAAACATGTATAGATGGATGCACACATGCATATAAACATGTATATAAACATCACATTATGCTTCTTTTTATCAGGCCTTTTCTTTCTGGTATATATATCTACCAATTCACAAAAATCCTTCTCATAAGAAGATGGGGATGATGTTCTACTATGCTTTACCTGTACTATGCTTTGGTAATCCCAATTATCCTTTATCTCTTTGTCCCATCAGTTTTCTTAAGATCCTTGCTCTGCTTAAAATCTACCCATGACAAGAGACTTTCCACTATTCCAGACTTGGACACTGCAGGAGAATTGACCACAAAAGCAACAAAATTACGCTCACAAAAGGAGTAAATAGCTTTTCTTTTTTAAAATTTATAATAATAATAATAATAATAATAAAATAATAGAACAAACCTTTCTTCAGGAACTCCTGTGAAAGTTCACCTTTTGACCCAAAACTGCTTTGGCGAATTGTCAAAGTCTTTTTGGTTTGAGAATCAAAAGCTGGGTTGTCAATAAGAGCATTGACAAAAAGAAATTAAGTTGAAACTTATCAATTCACAAGATAAGATCATGTCGTAACTTGAGAAATAGTATAGCATACATGAAATTTTTAACATCAATGAAATTAAGTAAATTCATCTGGCAGTAGGTGCACAAAGACAATGAGTAGTTGCAGCAAGACAAATCAATGTGATTAACTTCAGTTGTTACCAAGAAAGAGGGTAGTGATAGTGAGGATACTGAAATTGATACAAGTTAATCTTGACTTAGGACTTAAGAAAACATGCGGCCCTAGAAATGTACAGTCAGATAGACAATTCGAAACAGTGTCCAGAAGGCTCTGTTCAGAAAGGATAAATGAGATAGGGTGTAAATGGTTTAATGAAAATAAGTGTCTTTATAAAATTACAAAGTCAGAGATGTGGTGTGTGCACTATCAAAAAGTTAGAAAACATGTGAAAAAAGCTATGGATTGAAATATGAGTCTTTATGACTATTAAAAGGGTATGAATAGAGATAGAGAAGCAAACCTAGTAACTATAATGACTATTAAAGTACTCAATTGAGAATTCCAAATACTTTCTTTTCAGCATAGCATCAATCAAGATCCTCTTTGGGGAGTTACTAACTTAACTATTTGCCAACCAAGATCAACCAAATTTTTGATCATATCCTATTGGTTGAGCAATTCTTTTTTTGGCACAAATTGGCTGAGCAATTCATTTGAGCACTAATCATGCCTTGAACAAGCACTGCAGTTCCAGACAACAAAAGAGGCAGATAGATGCTTCAAGAATTTACCTCTGTGTAAACTCCTGCAAAACCACTTAGAAGTGCCATAACCTGCAATTGTTAAAAGGAAGTATCAAGTGATAATAAGAATCAAGCTTTTCTCTTCAATTGAGGGGATTAAGCTTAAAAACATCAACAACTCACAATGGCCATCACCCAACCTTGAAAAGGAGTTTGAAGGACTCTATTAGAACTGCACAAACAATCTCACTTTGTAAGAAATAGCCAATAATAAAGAAAAATAAATAAATTATAGATGATATCCAAAACTACAAAGCAAGGAACAATGTCCCTTTGTTCTCAACCATGGTAACATGAATAAAGAAACTGATATATAATTCAAAGTCATTAAGAAATACGTTTAGGTATAAGCAGAACATCAGTAATTCAAAGATTTTCATTCATCACTTGGTTACGAGCCAGGGCCTGCATATCATGGATACTCATCGTTCATGCCAGTCCAACTGAACCAATCCAACAACAGCTTTAAAGAAATTTTCAAGGCCAATGTTCCAAATAGACTAGCAAAACAATGTGCTTTAACAAACTTTGAACAAAGCAAATTTGAAAACCCATCAAAAACACAATTAAAAAAATGGCCAGGATCACTCTTACGAAGAATTAAGTTGTGCTATGGTGCACCCTGCACATAATAGAATGAAAGCAGCCCATTGAATCTCGCTTAACCAGAAAGAGAACACAATATCTAATAAGTGTCTCAGTGGCCTTTTCATTTGGTGTTTCTTCTCAAATAAACCTTGAGGATTTAATATTATGTTCTTTGCAATTACTCAGATTAACATTAGCAGCTGAGTTTACTTCTCATTGGTGGATAAATAGCCCAGCTTGTGGATGCTTTCATTCATGTTCGTCATGATCACAAAAAATAATGTCAACATGGAAACATAATAAAAATGATAAAGAAATTGTTCTTGTTCAATTTTTCCCTTCTCTCTTTTGACTCATGAGCTAGTAATGCCTCATGATTTAAGCCTCAAGATAGCAGCAGATAGGACATACACACAAACAATAGCAGCATAACAACGTCAAAACTGTATTTGAACATAGCAACAAGCAGCATAGCAGATAGGGCACACAGACAACAGCAACTGATGCAGGGCACACCAGAGAGCAGCAACTCAGATCATTATTTATTCCCTTCGTGATACGTATATTTATTTATGCATATAAGAAAAAACTTCTAAGCGGGAGAGGTGATGGCATGAAATGTGGGTTACAAAGATCATTACATGATAGGAAGGTTCAGGGGATACAAGTTCTTTTGAAACTGTTGTATCAGGAGCTTAGTACAAGGCTCGAAGGAAGATGACATTGGTTGGTACTCCAAACTGGGGAAATTAAAAGTGAAGTCTTATTACAAGTTGGAGGGTGACACACTTCACTTTCCTTGGAAAGGGATTTGAAAATTTGAAGGGCCCTTCTTAGTTGGTCTTTTTTGCAGGGAGATATCCCAGGTGAAAATTCTTGTAGTAGATAATCTGATCAAAAGCAGAAAAACTATTCGTAATTGGTGTTGCAAGTGCAAAGAGGGTGGGTCTGTCTGTGGATCATCTTCTTATATACTGTTGGATGGATTGAAATATTTAAGCGGTGTAATTGTCCCTTTTTTGGGTGCCTTGAGTGTTCCTAAAGATGGTAGTGGTCATGTTACTTGGTTGAAAAGGAGGCTTTTTACCCAAACAGAGAAAGAAAGCTTTGAACTGAGTTTTTCTTTTGTTTCTATGAAAGTAGAATTATGAATCTTTTGTGTTCTTGGTAAGAGCATTTCATAAAAGAGGTTCAGTTGCTTTCTCAACCACCTCCACAGTCTCAGGACAACACAAAAGATCATCAAAATAACACCATCTTAGCAATGAGACCAACATTCTAAAAAATTACAAGCTAATTATATCCACTTTAACAAACAAATGAAGCATTTCATACTAAACATACTTAGTGTATGGATGCATGCCCACGCCAACAAGTAAACACATGTGCGCAAACACAAAAACCCACACACTTTACACTCACATTGTTAATTGAAGTCTGGAAGTTTGCCCAAACAGAATGAATTAAATGGACTTTCCTGTTTGGCCCACCATATCTCCATAAGAACTACAAACAACAGTTTGAACATCAGTCAATGAATTAAAATAAACTATCATGTCCAAAGAAAATATAAAAATGAAAGAGAGAGAGAGAGAGAGAGAGAGAGAGAGAGAGAGAGAGAGAGAGAGAGAATGGGCACACATTGGCCAAAGCATTTAACTTTTTCGAGGAAGAGGAGTTCTCATATCTAGAATTCCAAACCAAGGCAACCTGTACTTTTCCTGAAATTAAACAATAGACTTAACAATCTAAAAGGCCTGGACAGACCAGTTCAAATACAAAATTTCACATTCTAAATTTAGGTACTCAGGTAGTGACCATTTCTATATCTTTCAGCATAAGGAAGGGATGTGTTGTATGTGGTCACAGCCATCTGCATACAAAATCATCTTCCATTACCAAAGCAAAAATTGCAAATCACAACCACTCAACTTTATCCATAATAAAATTCCAGGAAAATTGTATTGGCATTACGCAATTATTTACCTGAACATAACGCAATTCACCTGTCCCCTGGTCTTCATCATATGGTTCTACATTTAACTCGGCAATACCTAAAAAAATAAAATTAAATCGAAAACGATCAATAGAAATTTTAGACAGAAATACATCCATTATGATGTGCCCGTGGCATTTTTAAAATCGATTCTAGATTAAAATGAAAGATTTAGGACATAGACCAAGCCTTGCTTTAGGAGTTCAACAGCAGCACTAATGTTTGGATGGTAAGCTGTACAACCAAGAAAACGAACCTTAGAATATAATTCAAAGACAAACCAAAAAAATTTCAGTACACAATCACATAAAAACTCGAGTATCGAACCTTTACAATCAGGAATATCAACTACATTATGAGTACCCTCTTGATAGAGCCCAATGAGAGGGTTGGTGGATGAGCCCCGAACTGCGAGTTTTGCGCGGCACCTCCATCCCCACTGTAAAGGGCGAAAATGTTATCAAAACACTAATTACGAAAAAACCCAATTGAGAAAGTAAACAAGGAGGAGGACATATGAGTCTACAAGTATCGAAGGTGAAGTCAGATACGCCGTGTTTGTTGTAGAAGTCGGTGGCCTCGTCGAGGATGATCGGACGGTTGAGATTGTACTCTTGAGTGCAACCAGAACACCTGCAAAAACAAAACGATAGTCGTCGTTGTAATGAGATGCCGAGAGAGTCGACAAGTGTAGAGAAATAGAGAGGTGAAGTGGTGGTGCGTATGATTGGAAGTGAGGGCACCAGAGGGCGCAGGTTAAGGAGGGTAAGGCGGTTGGGTTAGGGTTTGGTGGCGGCGGAGCTGGAGGGGCGGCGAGGCAGCTGATGAGAGAGGCCGATGGCCGACCTGAGACTGAGAGGAACAAAAGAGCCATTCCTGTATGGCAGTGGCGGGAATGGATAATCTCATTTCTTATGAATTGGTATTCATTTCCCCCCTCCTTTTTCAAATTCCCCCCCAAACTTTTGGCGACCAAAAGACCATATTAGTTGCAGAAAAGGCACATTCGCCGACAAATTTTTTTAGTCGCCAAATCTCAATCAACGGCGACTAAAATATTAGTCGCTAAAAGTACTAATTTGGCGACTAATTTTTTTTGGTTGCAGAAAATAAGTTTTTGGCGACCAAATTTTTGGTCGCCAAAAAATATGTGACTTTCCGCGACCAAATTTGTAGTTGGTCGGCAAAAGCATACCACTTTTTGCGACCAACTCATTTTTTAGTTGCCAAAATATAACCTTCTGCGACCAATAATATTTGGTCGCCAAAAATAATGATCATTCGCGACTAATTAATATTTGGTCGCCAAATATCATTTTTTTGCGACCAAAATTTTTTTGGTCGGCAAAAGTGGTCGCAAAATGTGTAAATTCTTGTAGTGACATGTGAGCATTTGCATTGGCCTTGTTTTGGCCTCTTAGCCACTGAAATCCAGTGGATTTTCAATGGCTTAGGTGCATTCTTGAAGGCCAAAATCAGAGGGGGGTGACCCCCTCTCTCCTTGTCTTGTTTGGTGGTCTTTTGGGCCTTCCAAAGAGACCCCTATTTTGCATGCATTGAGGTCACTTTCCAGGCCTCATTCTAAGGGTTTTGAGGTCTGACTTGGCTCTGTCCAAGGCCCTTTTGGCCATATTTTATGTCTACAATGCATGTGTAGAGCAATCCCATTCAAGGCCTTTCGAAGGGGCCTTTCTTTGCATGATTCCGAGACTAATTTCAAGGCTTTTTCAGTGGGTTTTAGGACCCTCATATTCCATTTCCAGAGTTGATTTGGTCTTGCCAAGTGTCCATCTTGTATGTGCTTAAGAATCCCTTGCATAGCCCTCTAAAGGAGCTCATCATTTTTGCATGCATTGGCTGCATATCAGCGGTTATTTGGGCGTATTTTGGCATGTTTTATTCATTGGCTTTTTCTGTTTTGGTGAGATTCCATATGCTTCATATACATGCCATGTAAACCATGTTTGCTAGTCAAAGTTGCATGCTATTTTAGTCCATCTTGCTAGCACTTTTTGACCATGCTCTAAACTGGAAATGTGCATGTTTTGGGACTGCCTTGGCTCTGTCTTTAGACTTCATGATCAAATAATGCATACTTTGTATAGCTATGAGTCCTCGCACATGCCTAGTTTTGAGTTTCGGGGCTCACCTCATGCATCGGGTGCCATATTTCCATGATTCGGGACTATTTTGTATCATATTTCAGTGCTGAAATTTGCATGTTTGCATACCATATTCCATGCCTTGCCATGCTTTGGTAGAGTGGCATTAGTGCCTTAGGTTCGGTCCTCGATTTGCGTGCATGCATGCACACATTTCGAGTGTCTCATCTTCATCTAATGGCTACTTATGTGAGTGTGGCTGAGGTCCACTCATG